TGGTCGGTAAATCAAATTTAATCGCAGCAGAAACTTTGAAGAGTATCAGCGTGCCAGTCGACGTGTTAATATAGACGTATGTGTACACGTATGTGTACACGTATGTATACAGGGTGTCCCAGGTTTCAATGGACAAACTTTGGGAGCACATCCTGCAAGAGGAAACAAGCAAATAAAGTTCGAATGAACGACGACGGATTTTATTTCACTGATCATTCAAAGTGTTCGTCTTGCTCGTCTATTCGTGTAACGTTTACCATTTCGATATTTATTTGCCTTTCAGTGTTAATTAATGTTAATAATCAGTTAGACCAAGAATCGCGGCGCAGATGCCTGGAGTTTTCTCGGTCGATGAATCGAGAAAATTCCTGCTGCTTTTCGTCTACGGATTATGCGAATAACATCTCCGTTGCCAAAATCCAACGAAATGAGAAAGAGATTCATTCTGTAACAAGTCCCGTAAACAATCCCACCGTACCTCCTCCACGCAACGATTCGTCGCATAAACGAGCTCTGTTTTTACCTCCGTTAGAAATGCGTAAATCGACCGGGTTAATTCGGTTTAGGGATATTCACCGATATTCACCGACGTTCCGTGAATCGTTCCGCGAACCGAATCCGATGTGGCAGTCGCGGGACAACTAATTCGCGTTCTTGAACCAGTTTCGGGGGACGGGAAGGGGGTAGTAAATTCATCGACGCGAAACACCGTCACCCTGACAATCGTCAATCACGTCCAAAAACAGATGCAGCCAGGCTGCAATATTCGCACGACAGAGAAACAAGGGCTGGGAATGGCTGGCAAGTGGCAAGGGCTGCCTAGAAATGCAGAGCATGCCCGATACGTCTTCACGGTGCGCGGACCACCTGACAAAGGACTGGTTTGGATCGTCGCCACTCGACAGCCGACCGAATATCATAGGGGCGCGCTCGGGCTGCCAAAAGTCGCGCACAAACGGGAAATTACAGCAACGAATGGTTTTGCCCGTGGAATTTCTCGCCGGGAACCGATATTCGTTTTCGTCGCCGAGGAGTTCGTCGAACGAAACTCGTTGCGCGATATTGGGATAATTACACTGTTCGACGCGATTCTTTCTCCGCGATATCCACTAGGCGATTCTTACAGGGTTCCTCGTTCTAAATGCGTATCCGAAAGTGAAATTGCTTCATCGCACTTAGTTTTCGAGTGGGACTACGTTTTCGCGAAAAATCGACCGTTTTTACAAAATCTCGGTATTTCTCCGAGGGCTAAGGGCTAAGGGCTAAGGGCTAAGGGCTAAGAAGTAAGGGCGATGGAGCAATTTCACTCTCGGATTCGTATTTAGGACGAGGAACCCTGTAAGAATCGCCTAGTGGATGTCGCGGAATTTAAAGAAAGTTTAAAGTTGTTGGACAGTGTTACTTCTGAAGGCGTTCGATTAATTTGAAAAGAGGGGCGGGAGCGGGGGAGGTTAGGTGTACCGAACCCTTGAACGATCGTTATTTGTCCTCGGGGTCTAATACGTTGCAACGGTGTGCGATGAAACTAACTACTGAAATAAGGCAAGTTAATGATTAATCAATAATCCATTGGGAGCAACTTGCTCGAACTTCTTTACGAGCCTCTGTGTCGTGCAACTGCTAGTGCATCTGACGTCGAATTACTTCTCGTTGCTCGAGAGGATACTCGCTCGAACGATCCTTAGCCAAGGTCCGGGTTGGGTCTCTACACCCTCGAAAACGATCGAAATTTATAATACCACTTTTTCTCACTTTTCTCTGTTTTTTTGTTTGTTTATTTTTTTTGGTTTGTTTATTTTTTTTTGTTTCGCTTCGTATCGTTTCCTAACGCGTTTTGTAACACGTGACAATCTAGACCATTCTTCGCCTTTAACCCTTTAACCGCAAAGGGCGCGTATACACACCCTCGAGAAATGGGCTCAGAGACATGTTTGTATTCGTTGAATCAATTTTTAATAAATATTAGCTCGTAAGAGACGGTGAGACGAAACCTTTTTATCTCGACAGTTTATTCGTTATTTTTTCCCTGAATTTGATTAAATTTGGAACTGCGGAAATGGAAAGCATCGTTACCTAAGAATTACTTATTTTTCGAAATTTTGAAAAATATGACCTCATAGGGGATGATAAGACGAAACTTTTTTCTCTTTACATTTTATTCGTAGGATGCTTCGTTTCGAAAATAAAAATTGAAAAGTTAGAAGTTCGTCGGAAGAATTGAATTTCAGGAAGAAGGTCCGCCGGGTTTGCAATTTTTATCTCTGAAACTAAACGTCGTGTGAAAAAAATTATACAGGCAAAAAAGTTTCGTTTTGGCATTCTCTATAAGAAGATATTTTTTTCAA